AACCCACACAATTACTTCAGATTGCTTCAACCTGAAGTGGCACCAAAGTAACTATAACCTTCTCAACCACTTTTTACACCATGCCTGCCGAGTATTCCAGTATGAGGAATGGTTTCTAATGATGGAAACCCGGCCATAGCTTTCATCCCTAATCTAACCCCATCACACAATCCTTTAACAAGTTTTAACCCATTTAAAGTAGGGAGATAATAGGTTTCCGTTCGACAATGGCAATGATTAAGATCTGTATTTTAAACATAAAGATATTACATAACGTCATAAAAAACTTGGGTAGGTAAAAAAATACTAATTTAATAAACAATATAAATAATGATATTATAATGTGAACTTGCCTGGGAAAAAATCTGGCAGAGAAGACGGATATTTTTCGTTTATGTTCTGGTCGTATGTAAACATGAGACTTTCACCAAATTTGTTTCTCTGCTTTTCTTCTTCAGTTAGTAGATGTTCTCTGGCTAATAAGTCAAAGGTTCAGTAAGTATAAATATTGGAGTGTATTATATTACATGAATATTCATACAAATATTAATATTATAGATAATTACAATTAAGAGCAGATATTAGTCTTTTTTGGTCAATGAATGGGATATTGACTACGGCTTCCCAATCTTGCTTTTTTCCATTCATATCAAGATCAAATTCTTTAGGATAAAAGTCTATTATCGGCGAATCAAGGTCTATCATGAGATCCTAAATAGATAAATTGTGTAAGGAAAATCCATATTTACAAAGATATTTTATTTTTCATACTGCACCTGGTATGCAGATGGTAAAAGTTTTTTACTCCCTTCGGGTAGAACACCCATTAATTGTTCAAAAGGTTTAAAGGGTCTACCAAGTTCGAACTGGATATCAAATCTTTCTAAGTCGTACAAATCTGAATAGAAAAGACAAAATGTTGGACTCATATAGATAGAACAATTATGCGTAATAATCCCGACATACCAGATATTTTCGGTGAATAGTGATAAGAATAAAACCATCCCCAAGACGCTACACCGTTATAATAATAGTGTAACACCCACTGCAACCCTTCTACATAAGAGCCGACTATACCATCCATCTGTTCCGGATTATCATAATCGATATTCATCTTTCCCATATAGTATTCTTTTTTCCAATCAATAAATTTCACTTCATACTGTTGTCTTTCTTTTTCCTCAAAAGCCTCTACATCATCATCATCAATAATTTCTGCGTTTTCATATTTTTTAAACACTTTCTCTCTCGTTTCTTTCATTTCTTCTTCAGACTCATCTTCTGAATCATATTCTACATAAACATGTTTATCTTCTCCATCTTCATGATATTCTACCGAATGTTGAATAGCTAAATCTTTTGCTAAATTTTGAATGAACATACGATCTCGCGCCGGATAATCAACAGGAAAATGAATAGGTTTTTCGGATCGTGATTCAACCAACTCTTTAACCTGTTTGAATATCTCTTGCTGCTTCGGAGTAATTACTAAAAATAGCGCAAAACGATTATGTTTGGACAATAAAGTTTAAAAAATATTTAAAATATACGTCACAATTGGACATACCTATAAATACATACCTAATTTCTTCTTTTTTTTATCTTTTTCAATTTGTTCTAGATATTTTCGTTGTTTTCCTTTGAACCATTTTAAATCTACAAACTCGCCTTCAAAAATGTCTCTCTCAAAAATGGTTAATTCTTTAAATATCATCTCTAATCTCTTCATATCTAATACTCCCCCATCATTAATATATCCACCTAAAGAGATAAAAATTTATACATTGCACGTTTCTTGGTAGAAAAAAATGATAAATAATCACGTTATAAATTACAACTAACCAGCTTGTGGTAAAATTTTTTTGTAAACTTGAAACATTAAACCAAGTGCCCCTTCAGCAATATGAAGATTAGGCAAGTGTGGAATAAAATCGTTGCCGACGAAAAGCGCCAACAAAATAAAGTCGTCTATTATTCGTTCGAGATTGTATTCGAAAGGAAGTGATTCTCGAAGAGTGGAAAATTCAAGATTTAGATATTCTCGCAAGAGAGATAAGTGCATTAAGTAGAAGTTTTGCGATTCTATTCGTCTAGTATTCATTAGACACAGATATTCTTAAGCATATATAGACAGACAAAGCTAAATATTAAATTAAATTATAATCATGATTTGAACACACCCATGCTTTTTCTTTTTGCTGCTAGGTCCAAATGTAACCTCTTCTCTAAGCAAAGCAAAATGTGGGTCATGGCTCAAAAGTCCCAGCATAATTAGATCTGCATCCAATCCATATAAACAGTGTCTAACATTAGGATTATAGTCCGATTGAGCTTTAGCATTACGGATATATTCCATTATTTTATGTTCGCCTTCTCCTGGTACCCCATGCCCAGATAATACTATTTGTATGCCTCTCCAATTTGCATCTTCTGATACTTTTTTGTTAATAAAATATTCAAGTTGAAGAGAAAGCTTCGCCATGAATTCCGTGCCTGAACAAAAATGTTATAAAATCTGTCACAAAATCTCGATTTTATTAATATTTATACTTGTGAAAGTAAAATTCATGCCTGGTGTAATACAATTACTATCAAACGGAGCCTCTTGTGGCAATGCCTCTCCTTTTGATTCAGCTCTTCGAACTGCTTCTGCAGCTTCTTTGGCTGTTCTGAACCGTCTACCTCGTTGTTGATTCATCTTAGCCCTTGGGGCAACTCCTATTCATATGGGAATATATATAATCTATTTACTGCTTCAAGGGACAATTTAAAATTTAAGATAAATACCGTCCACTGCCATGAAAAACAGTTGTTTCGGCTTAATCTTTGTAAATAAATGATCAATGTAGTTGAATATATCAAGGAAAATTTTGTCTTCTGATATGCGGTAGTGAGCATCCACATCATTTGGATGGGAGCAGTGATGAATAATGCCATTCATGTCAAGATATAAATTATCTATAGAATTTAAAGGTCAAATTTGCATCGAAAAGAGTGATATAAATATCAAACCTTTCAAAATTTAATATTTATAACTTGATTGAATATATGCATAAGTGATACATACCAAATTCAGGAATTCTATGTTCAAGAAAATTATGTCAAAGAATTATTAAAAGAGAAAAAACAAACGCGAAAATTTAAATACTTGCCTATTTTCTTGTATTAACTGACTGCAAAGTGGATACCTCTCACTAATGAAAACGATTAAGCATGTTGATTGCATTAATAAGATGTAAGTGTCATAATACAGCTTCTACGAATCTGCAAGTAAAAGGGGTTACCTCATCCATCGAAAGAACTTTGGAATTCCCATGACTAAATTTTTTGTAAAACGAGAGTTAACCAGCACTTTATAGCTACTCTTTACACTCGAGCCTTAAAAATACCAACTCTAAAAAATCTACGAACTCTGATTACGAAAGTAAAAAAAAAAAACACATACTGTCGCCTATGTATGATTTGAACTAGTCAGTGGCCATGAAATCACATGATAATAAAATAATCGCTTTTTGATCTAAATAGCGACTTAATTATATTGTTATAACTGTATAACGATCAATAAATTTAAAATAATACACATTTTTATCCTTTATAGTTTAACACTACGGAATAGTTGTTTGGCTCTTTTTGACATCAAATCGGTATGCTCTCAAATATATACGTCTAGTGAGTAAAAAGTGGTTGAGAAGGTTATAGTTACTTTGGTGCCACTTCAGGTTGAAGCAATCTGAAGTAATTGTGTGGGTT